TCAGGCCGAGGGCTCCGAGGCAGCGCTGGCTGCTGCCCTGGCGGACGTGCCTGAACTGGCCCGGCTGCTGGAGATAGACCCGTACCTCAAGCCTTTCGCCCCGGACTTCCAGCGCAGGTACCACCCCACCCCCTCCGCCCGCAGCGCGCCTCCAGGAGCGCACTCCGCTCCCGCCGCCCTGGGCCCGCGCGCGCCGGCCCCGCCTTCGCTCCAGGGGGCGGAACCGTGGTGGGCGGGGCCTGGGCCGACTTGAGTATCTGGGTTGAGCGACTTCCGGAGTAGGGGCTCTCCTGCCCGGGTCTCGGGGTGGGCGCTGGAGCGCGGGGTAAACTTTCCACAGCCGCTCTCCCTGCCCAGCGGTCTTGCGCCATCCGGTACGTGCCTTGTCTCGCAACGCTGGTTTCCTCCGGTGCTGCAGCAGAGTGGCGCAACCGCCTGCAGCTCTTCTGAAAGTGGCCCGCACGGGCGTGGTCCTGCTAGTTAGTGTGGGCAGAACGCCTGGCAGGTGCAGTTAAGACTTTTTTTCATAGCACATTTTAAGCTTTTTTCAAATAACAGGATTCTTTCAGGCAGACGCTATACTCTAGCTTTTGTTCTTTCCTTGTTACTATTCCCCCTCAGGAAAGATAAACCTGTCTTGAGCACTTCTCCCTCTTGAATCAGCACTGATGAGAAAATGTACTGCAGCCTTCTTCGCGTTCCACCTTGCCATGCCAAAGTGGGAGAACAGTGAAGAAAGCCAGACTTTGAGAGGCCTATTTAGGATGCTTTAGTTATAGCTCCTCTCTGCTGTAGTGAATTGTTTACCACAATTTAATTGTTTACCAAAATAATTCTAATCAGCCCAACTAAAAAGGGATAGCTTTAAAAATTCAAGTTGCTGTTAAATTAGTTATATTAGTTACATTTGGTGAAGCACGGTGTGATTTAATAGTTTCTGCCCTTTAATCACAGTCATTGCAGAAGGAAAATTACCATGGTAGCAGAATATACATAGCCACTTTTCCAAGTAATAAAACATGCCTAGCTAGCTACTGGCATTGGGGGTAATGAAAATGTGGTGATGTGAAGTTTGAAACAAAGACAACCGAAGTTCATGTGTTAGCATTGTTATGTATTATCTCTATTCCGTTCAGCAAATGTTTATTAAGGAACCACAGTGAACGAAAACATTGCTGTAGATATTGTAAAAGGAAATGAGGTTGTATACCTCTGTTAAAGAGTTTGGATATCCTGGGACCTGCAGTTAGCATAATGGCTATGTCGCTGTACTCCCATGTAGTCAGCCATAGTTCGAGTCCTGGACCCGGCAGCTTAAACTCACGCTGGGTGTGTGTGCATGTGTGCCCAAGATCTTGAGGAGAATGGAAGAGAAGAGATTGTGGGGTGGCCGTCCCCCCTGGGGGATGATTTCTTGCTTTCTGTCTTTCTGGCGAGCACAGGAGCCCTATACCAAAAACCTCTCCAAAAAAAAAAAAAAAAAAAAGTTTGGATATCCTAAAGAATGAGGCCCCTCAAAGCTCTTATCTACAACTGTTCACATATTCAAATGGTTGTGCCCTTATAAGCCATTGAAGAACAGTTTACTTTCAGAATCTGCAATTTACCTCTCAAACAATATTAGTGCATAATCTTTATAGTTGAAGATTGGATCTGATTTAGAGAAAGGAAAGAAATTATATAACAAAAGATGGCAAATAAGGTCAGACTTTTGATGTGCTTATAACAGCAACATTAATTTTTATTTTGCCTTATAAAATGACACTTAAGACATGCTAAAAGACCAGTGGGGAAATATTTTACTTTCCTCTTCCCTTATTTTCCAATAGTCAAAAGCAGACAGAAATCCTTTGTTTTTCATGTACTTCCAATTCCATTGGGATTGAAGCAATTATTACCCTCTGTCATGGTTTATCAAAACTAAGGAGGAGGACAAAGGCCAGAATAAAGAGAAAAATAATGTATTTGGTAAAAAGTCTAGTCCAGTGGGCCCTTTTGCTTCCCTCTGACCTGGATTCTACTTGTGGCTTTGGTTTTGAGTAATTGCCATTTTCCAGCACACATGCTCCATTTAAGCATGTCAAACAGTAATTTGGCAGTGGTAACTTGTACTGTTAACACTTGAAGAATGCAGCACTTCTCCTTATAGTCTGGGCCTGGTTACTTGTTGCTGTGGTTTGAATGTGTGGCCTCCAAATTCCAGATGTTGCCAATGTGAAAGTTTTAAGAGGTGAAGCCTATACCAGGTGATTAGGCAATGATGGCTCCTTCATTTAAATTAAATTAAAACCTTCATAAAAATGGCTTTCTGAAGCTTTCCGCTCTC